ACTCTATTCACTGCATTGTTGGTGCATTTATTTTGGCATGCATTTCATCTTCAGCGTTATGTAGCTACACCTCAATTGCATCTTCATTCGCCTTCACTCTCGTGAATGTCTCGTCCACTACTGTTGAATGCCGTAGTAAATTATATATCTTCATCGTGGCTACAACAATTGTAACTTGTGTTGGGAATGGGTAGTTAGGCATAGGGTCTAGGATTTTCCATCTCTATTTCCGCACACCGAATGCACATTCTATAAAGTTCTTGTAGTATGAGTGTTCAAAGTTAAACCTCTCTAGAGCATTACGAAATCTACTACGACGACGTCATGTTCGTTCATTGTGAAATTGCTGGAAATGGGACAATATATCTAACCCTTTGATAGGGGACATATACCCAGGGAGAAAAGCAAATTCGGGGTCGAACAAATAGTAATTTCCCGATGTCGGCAACAAAAAATGTATTTTTGGACTGTGGGTAGCACGTGCAAGTATTCGTGTACCGTGCGCATTCCCGGTAGTTCCAGCCATTACGAACATGAAATATAAATTAAAATTACATGCGGCCAACACATTCTGGGTCAGTACTCTTTCCATCCTATTAAGTTGACACGCTCGTGACATGGTACCACGACTTTCACAGACGTTCCATCAATAGCATAGATGCAGTCCCGAAACAGTGGATACTTATTCAAGTTCGACCTGTGAGGCTCGACACCATCATTATAGTTCAGACTAGGTTGAAGCAGATGAGTAAAAAATGCCACGATCGCACATAGAACCTCTTTCATGTAGTGACATACGATTTGCAACGAATGATTGAATGTCGTTGTCACCTTGCGATATCCCTTCTCGTGCACTAATATGCACAGGAACATGCTAACTTGCTCGTAAATGTCAACTTGCAGGCTGTTGCGTAGCCCATATTCGTCGCGCAAAATATGTGCGAAATGTCACAGCATTGATAGATACATACGAAATTCTTGATAGCACATTTGCTCATTCTGTCTCATTGCCTCCATCATAAACATGTGATCGTTTCTTGAGAATGGAAACCATTGGATACGATGTCGGTGTCTGTGATAATAATTACTCGTGTCGTTGTCGGCGATTCTGCAGTTGATAAGTTTATTTTATACACTTATTCAATACTTTAAAACGATAATATTTAGTTGTTTTTAGGATGAATTATGGTCTAAGTTATTGCATTTCATGTTGAATAGGTAAAATTCAATGACAGTACAAGAAATTGAAGGAAATAAGCAAAAGTTGACAAAATTGAAAAAAATGAGCTAAGTTGTAAGAGATTCAAAGTTCAGGGACTAAAGTGCAAATACTCAAAAGTTGTGTCGGACCTCACGATGAAGATTCAAGAGTTCTCAGAGTCGATTGAATAAAGAAAGATATCAAAGAGATGAAATATAATCAAATTATGACCACACATCACGTTCGAACCGAAGAAATGTATGCATCGTTTTTAGATTCATATTGAAACCTACTTTTGACATAGAAAATGATCTAATTTGAAAATGACATCTGGAGAAAAGTTGTAATCCTTTGAGTTAGCTTTCCATTGCATGTTGAATCGCCTCGATCAAATATCGGAAGAAAAAGTTATGATGAAAAAACTGAAAGTTGTGCAGTGCGATCGAATTGACGATAGCACCAAGGCGCTATCTCGTAGCGCTTGGGCGCTACGTTTCTGATTTTTTTCCCGAAAGTCAGTGCTTAGGCGTTGCATGCGTAGCGCTTAGGCGCTACCTAAATTTGTTCGCGACGATTAGATGCTGACTCCTTGTGCTCAGGCGCTATACCGGAATTGTTTAGGGCGCGTTTTTAGGTCGTTTTGAGGTCCATAAAAACCTACTTTCTACACAGATGAAGGATGCACCTATAAATACATCTTTTTCGCACTTTTGAAGGATTTTTCACACATTGAGAGGCAAGATAACATAATGGGAGAATCAAAAGAGAAATTCAAATGAGGAAAACACCAAACAATCAAAGATTTAAAGCATTGATTGGAAGGGGAAGGAGATCTTGGTGCAAGAATTCTACTTTTTCTTCTACGTCTTTAGAACAAATTCGGTGATGAATTTCTTGATAATTTCTTTTTTTTTTCTCTCATTAATATGTGTAGCTAGATTTAATTTTAGAGCAAATAATGTTATCTATTTGGGACCTTTATTTCTTTTATTTGAGACTCTTTGTTCTTTTATATTTTGGCCCTGTTTGGTAGCCATTTTCTTCAAACTATATTTTTATCTCTCTTTTTTTCAACCACACATTATTTATTTAAATAATATTACACGTAGATAAAAAAAATTCTTTATTTTTCAACCACACATTTCACATCAATTTACTATTCTAAAATGCATTTTTACATAAAAATGACTATCAAACACCCCATTTATGTGTGAATTTTAATTATGTTTTCCATGCTTTGAATTTTTCTGGCCAATTATTCAATGATTTCGTAAACAATAATTACATAGAGATGCAAATTCTTGTTTAGACCACATATTAAAATTCGGTAAATTAATATAACGTATATAGATATTTATATTAATATTTATATTAATTTCGATAGTCCATTAGGAATTCTTAGAATTGTTATTTCGTTTAAATAATATTGATTTGCATAGAGATATGTAGTTAAATTATTTAAATGGGTTTAATGAGAACTCGAGAGGGGTAAATTGAATACTATAGAAGAATTTGATTGAACACTACTTTAGTTTTATGAATCTCAATATTAGAAGTAAAGGTGACCAATAGGTGAAATTGTTCCTTCCTAGCATCTATTTATTGTTTAAATTCCAAATCACTTTTTGTTGCATCTATTAAAATTTTTAGTAGTTAGATTTAAAAATCATGTTCAATCATTTTTTTTTGTTTATTTTCATCAAATAGAAGTTAGGAATAATAAATTGAGTACTAAAGTATAGTTCTCGTGAAAAAAATGTCCACTTTACTACTTGTTACGATCCGTCAATTTGTAGGATAAAATTGACAACAGCAGTACGTAAGCCGTTATGTCGGCTACCAAATGGTTGAAGAACTGTTCCTTCTCTCAATCTTCTTCCACGTCGGTGCCCGGTAGAATGGCACAGTTGAAGTTCAGCTCATCCATTAGGCAATAGATGTAGAATAAGTTAAATTCAAAAGCTAAGAAATGTAATGGAGCTGCAGAGAAGGCAATTTCCTCAAACAACCTTGCATCTTCACATATTGTTTTCCTCATTCGTAATATAGAAATTTATAGAAAGTGTACATGATTGGTACACCATCCTGTGCACTGATTGACACTTCATTACAATTGTACCAACTGTGCAACAATAGTGGTATGCTATCCAAAAGTCCTCGTGAGGTGTGCATTTTTGTACAAAAGATTGTACCCAGAAGAAATCTTTTGCACCAGAAGTGTACAGGCGAAAGAGTACATGGGTGTTCCATGCTCGAGCCATCCTGTCGTTAACAACTCGAAGCCATCAAGGTATTGATCTTTGCCGCCACTTCTTCGATGCCAATGATGGCCCGGTCAACTGAGAACAACAACTCATGCACAGAGATTTTTTCTTCTTGCCCCTTCACTTGCCACTAGAAAACTTCCTTTTTACTGTCGCTTATGGTGTTTAAGACGTTCATGCCTGATCTACCATCTATGTCGTCTGCCTCATCACTCACTACTTTCTCCATCGACAGAGAATGCATCTCGATGGTTTTCTAGTGCATTTTCCTCAAATAATCCAAACCCCGTTTTGTACAACTTTGTCGGAGTGACTGCATACTTGTCCCCGTTGTAACTATCACCGAACAATTGACGATAGCGAATATAGATCTCGCTCACGTCCTTGTCCTTGAAGTCCTTGTATTCCTTGTTTTCTTGCAAAGAAGGGTTAAACAATGAAGCCAACAGTTTGAATGAAAAACGAAATGTGTCAACTATCCGAACATGGTAGTCACACGAAATCACTGAGCATGGGATGATGCAAATAGCCATGGCATATGTGCAAAAGTACAAAGAAAGTTAAAGGCTTACTTAATAACCATTTCTGAACACCACAGAAGTTACGAGATAAATTTACAGCAACGTCCTAGGAGAATGACATGTAAATACATTCATCCAAACCAAAACCACATACGTATATTTTTGTAACGAAATCCATATATATATGAAAAGGCAACATGCCGAGTGGGTCACCAATCAACAAGTATCCGTACGTATGCATTTCGACAAGAAAATGGGTTACCTTCATCTTTTGGGTCCACCATTCCTCCATGCTACGATTCGGATGGTGGATGTGTTGTATTTGACCCCGTTGCAATTTAACAACTTGGAGAAAAGTTTGTGGGCTCGACTCATTGCATCCTAGTGGTTGAGCAGTTGTTCCTTGCTCCAATTGTGACTGGAGATAGAGTTGAACAGTGCAGAAACACGCTCCTAGCCGTGTTTCGTAAAACACCGACCGGTTCGATGACCCTTAACAATGGCTATTTCATAGGCTGCAATGAATGTTCTGGTCTCCGTTGGGCTCCATCGTGCGTATGATTTAGAGCCAGAGGCACAACCCAGTTCCTATGCAACGGAAGAGCCACTACACGAAACGTATCCTGTTACAACCCACATTTTTATCTAGTCAAAGTCAATAGTGGAATTTTCAAAGTCAAGTTAAATGAGGACTTAGATGAAATAAATCATTTTTATTGGGACTCGATTGACCAAATCATTTTATTTGGGTTTATCTTATAAATTATAAATATATTTTGAAGGTTAAATTGGATACATTTTTAAGTTGGAAACTTATATAATTTTGGAAGTGTTAGGATTAAATGTGATATGAAAAAGAGAGTTGAAGGACTTAGTTTGCAATTATGAGTTAGTGGACCATTTAATTCAACCATTTGACCCATTTTCTCTCAATTTCACACCAAAATACACACACACACAGAGGGTAACGAGAAGCAGAGACCGGTAGAAGGGAAAGAAGAAAGGAAAAAGAAGAAGAAAAAAGGTGAGGTTAATCTCTTCAAGTTGGGTTTAATTTTTCCACTTGTTTTTGAGTGATTAAGTATGATTTATATTAAATTTTTAGGGTTGTAACTTGTAGAATAAAATGTCGAATTTTAGGTGATATCTGTACGAATTGGAGCTCAAGTTTGGGGATTTCTTCATTTCCAATTTCAGCTAGGTACGGGATATTATTTTAGCAAACCCTAGAAATTTTATTTGGGATTTTTGGGATTAGGTATGTTTATGGAAATGATGATATTGAGAAAATAATTATTTGGAAGCATGAAATTATGGAACAAGAGGAAAATTTTAATTAGTTGAATTATAGCAACTTCTTGTCACTTGAATGATGTGGATGTCATAGTGATGTTTGGAAGTGAAGGTTATGTTGATAAATTAGTTATTAGTCAATGGATTATAAAGTGTGATTAACTCCAATTAATAAAGGAAAATTTGAGAACTTATTCAAGTGTTCAGAAAATATAATTTTAAGTTCTATCATTAGATATTAAGGTTTCTTGATTAGATAGAGGATAAATTGGTTATTAATATCATATTTCAGGTGGTAACGAGGAAATTGGAAACGTTTATCAGCCAATCTAACTTGTAGCTCATACCTTGTGAGTGGATAAAATTTATTTTTTAGAAATCAGTCTTCTTTAAATTTTAAAGTTATTTATTTTATAAAGTTGACTTCATAGCATGATTTTTAGAATAAAATGAATTTTATTATCAATTGCTTTTAAAGTTAAATTCAGTTCAGTTAAATTATTTTGAAAGCTTGTTATATTCTTATTACATGTTTCAGTATAGTTAAAGTTATTTCTAAAAATCACCAGAAAGTACCCAAGTGATTTTACCCCAGTTTGCACTGATGTGAATGTGTTTCCACAGTGTATGACTAGTTATGGTGATTTTACCCGCTCTGCACTATTGTGAATGTGTTTCCATAGTGTATGATCAGATTATCAGAGGTCTTTGGGGCCCACTCTCGTACACACATAGGCTTTGGGGGGAATACATCAAATTGGTCCAAATAAAAGAAGGATTTTCCAAAATAGCCTTTGACTTTTCTAAACATTTTGAACAACCTAAAATACCCTTAATCAAATATTAAAAACAACCCTTTACATAATAAGAATTTTCTATCTAAGTCCTTAAAAAATCTAACAAGTAATTTTTCTAAAAATTTGTGAGAATTATTAATGAATAATTATAAAATAGAAAAACCCAAATATAAGAGAGGACCATATAATATAAAAAAGGTTGTTAAAAATAAAAAAGAAATTAAGTTTGAAAAAGAAATTGATAAGATAGGATATCAAGAACAATTATATGCATCACAAGAAATATTAAAATGTTTTAAAGAAAACTTATTAGAAAATTTCGCTAAAGGAATTGTAAGGTCAATAATCATAAAAGATATACAAGATATAATAGATAAATTGGAAAAAATAAATAAAAGTATCTCAAAATATGATATACCTTTTAGAACAGACATAGATATGATAACAGATATTGATATTATAAATTCTCAAACATTACTAGACTTCGAAGAATTACTTAAAAATTTATGAGAAGACTAATAAAAAATAGATTACCACAAGCACATAAAAAATTAGTTTTTAACCTTACATTAAGA